AAACGAGATTATATTCACTCATTAAAAGTACTCGATAGTCACTTTAAAAGCAAACACTTTATATGAAAATTACTATTTATATGATATACAGTTTAAATATGACTACAATTTCAATGCAAACCTAAACATCAATTATAATTAAGTTTTATATATAAATGATTTCATAATAATGTCTAATAAAACACGAAACGGATCTTCAGTTTTGTTGCGATTGTCTCTCTTTAGTCTCTTTAGCGTTGGTTTCGTTTAAATTAATTTTAAGCTCTTCTTCGATCCGTTCTTTAGCCCTAACGACCTGTAGATTCATAAAAAGTAAACACTTTTAATAAAAAACTAAAATATATGTGAGATTGTCGTTAAAAACATGTCGCCTTTGAGTTAAGGGGATATTTTGTGAAATTGTATAAACTTTGAGTTGAATTGAAAGACATTCGGCAAAAGGGCTGATAAGACCATATAGAGTATGGCAGAGGTCAGACCCCAGACCCGAGGGTTCTGGAGATCGCTATCAATAAATACAGGTGTAGTCCAGCCGTGTTTCCAATGAGTTGATCTCCAATTGTTTTGGTCGACCAGTCGTTTGAGAGGCACTACAAAAACGGTCTCCACTTCGTCTTTATTGATACGAGAGTTGGGCTCAAAGTCGGTTAAATCAATAAATCCTAAGACCGGGTGGACTAGAGTACCGCTGATAGCGGGAAAGGGATTTAGTGTCCCATATGTGGTCACTCTGTTCTCGTCGATTCCCAGCTCTTCTACTGTTTCGCGAATAGCGGTTCGCGTCACTTGATTGTCATCAATGGTCTCCTGGACACCACCGGAGCGGGAAAGGGATTTAGTGTCCCATATGTGGTCACTCTGTTCTCGTCGATTCCCAGCTCTTCTACTGTTTCGCGAACAGCGGTTCGCGTCACTTGATTGTCATCAATGGTCTCCTGGACACCACCGGGGAAGCAGACCTCTCCCCTGTGATAACTCAGACTATTGGACCTCTGAGTGAACAGAATACTCGGTTCCCTATCCGGTGACCGACAAAAAGGCACTAAAACTGCGGCCTTGTTATCGCCGCCACTCCTGGCCATCGAGAAGGACCTCTTCGCCCGAACGACTCTCACGTCTTTCAACACTTTAATACAGTTCTGAATATTCTGTTCACTGAACGCCTCCTCCAAGACATGACTCGAGTCTTTGGTCCAATGGAAACCATTTGACACAATCATTGGCGCAAAACTCTTCGCGTGAAGCAATGGTTTGCCACGAATTGGTGACAAACCGCGAAATGTATTGCAATGGAGTGCCGGCAATGAGTCCATTAGATCCCCGGTTTGAACGCATTTCTAATTTACAGGTATTTTGTATTTTTGTATTGAGTTTTGCATTGACAGCGAAACTATAGCTAATTGTCCCAAACAGTGGCCACAAAACTGATGTTTCCATCAATACGTGAGCAAACAATACACACCTTTGACTGCAGATAAAAGGAGCCGCCTTTGGACTTGTCGTTCACGTCATACAAGTGGTCGTAACTCTTCTGAATGGTCTCCGCGTCCATATCCGTCAGCTTCTTGTTGTCCACATTCAGTATTTGCATCGCTTCCTGCAAAACACAACACAATCCGTCAGTACTTCCACTCCATTATCACCCGAATGTCCCAATAATGGGTGCATTACTTGTAAACTCATCCCTAGTTTGGCATTAATTGTCCGGTCGTTGGATCCGTTGTTAGCGCGTCTCTGATCGGCCGCCGCCTGACTCGCTGTAAGACAATCACACCATTAGAGCACACGTGAAGACAATTGAATGGATTTGTGTCCAAACC